GGCCATAGCCAGGTCAGCCTTGGTGAGTGGAAGTCCATGTTGCTGAGCCCATGTGTAATATTCATCCCTGCTACCATGGCCACTTTGTTTATGGGCCCATTGGCCAATGACAGGATTGGCTGGGGAAAGAGGCTGAATGGTGCCCACAGAACGGGTCATCCTATCCACTAGATTATTAAAATTCTTCTCTGCTGAGGTCATGTGTTGGTGAACACTCACATGGGATACAAATATCTTCACAGTTTTTGACGACTCAGAGAGGTTCATCCACATACCTCTTCCCTAAATTTCTTTGTCACCAGTTTTCCAATCATGCTTCTCCCAAGTCCCTGACCATCCAGCCAAGCCATTGGCTACAGCCTATTAATCAGTATATAATTGCACATCTGGTCGTTTCTCCTTCCATGCAAAGTGTACAACCAAGTGCACTGCCTCGCAGTTCTGCCTACTGGGAAAATTTCCCTTCACAGCTGTCCTTCAGGGATGTCTTAGAAAGGGGCTGTAGTGCTGCAGCTGTCCACTTTGGGTTGGTGCCTGCATATTTCACAGAGCCATCTGTGAACCAGGCCCTAGTCTTCTCTACCTCTGTGAACTGATCATAGGGAACTCCCCATGAGGCCATGGGTGCAGGCTTGGGGAAAGAAGGCAGCATGGCAGGAGTGGAGACCATGGGCATTCGAGCCACTTCCTTATGTAACTTACTTGTGCCCTCAGGATCTGCTTGAGTCTGATCACGTGTGTACCACTTCCATTTGATGACTGACTGCTGTGTGTATGACCACTTTATGGCTAGATGGGTCAGACAGAACCCAGTTCATGATAGACAGTTCAGGTCGCATGTTGACTTGATGACCCATAGTCAAGCATTCAGTTTCCAACAAAGCCCAGTAATGGGCCAAGAGCTGTCTCTCAAGAGTAAAGTACTTATCTGCAGAAGATGGCAAAGCTTTTCTCCAAAACTCTAGAGGCCTCTGCTGTGATTCACCTATGGCAGCCTACCAAAGGCTCCAAGCAGCATCCTTATCTGCCACTGACACCTCAAGCACCATTGAATCTGTTGGGTCATATGGCCCAAGTGGCAGAGCAGCTTGCACAGCAGTTTTGGACCCCACTCAAAACTGGTGGCCTTTTGAGTCACTAGATAAATGGGCTGGAGTGACACACCCAAATAAGGAATGTGTTGCCTCCAAAATTGAAATAGGCTCAATGGGCTTATTGGCCCACTAGGCATTGTGCCTCTTTCTTGGTTGTAGGAGGGGTCAAATGCAGTAACTCATCCTTCACGTTAGAAGGAATATCTCAACAGGCCCCACACCACTGGACCCCTGGAAACTTTACTGAGGTAGATGGTCCCTGAATTTTAGTTGGATTTATTTCCCATCCTCTGGCATGCAAATATCTCACCAATAAGTCCAGTGTGTTTGCTACTTCTTGCTCAGTGGATCCAATCAGCATAATGTCATCAATGTAATGGACCAGTGTGATACCTTGTGGAAGCAAAAAGTGATCAAGATCTCTTCAAATAAGATTATGACACAAAGCCAGAGACTTGATATACTCCTGGGGTAGAACAGTAAAGGTATATTGCTGGCCTTGCCAGCTGAAGGCAAATTGCTTCTGGTGGACCTTATTGATAGGAATGGAGAAAAAGGCATGTGTCAAGTCAACAACTACATGCCAGGTACCAGGAGGTGTGTTAATTTGCTCAAGCAATGAAACCACATCTGGTACAGGAGCTGCAATTGGAGTCACCATTTGGTTAAGCTCACAATCATTCACTGTCATTCTCCTAAGATCCATCCGTTTTTCCTCACAGGCCATATGGGAGAGTTGAATGGGTATAGGGTGGGCATCACCACCCCTGTGTCTTTCAAGTCCTTGATGGTAGCACTAATCTCTGCAATCCTTTTAGGGATGTGATATTGTTTTTGAAGTACTATTTTTCCAGGTAGAGGCAGCTCTAATGGCTTCCATTTGTCCTTTCCCACCATAACAGCTCTCACCCTACCAGTTAGGGAGCCAATGTGGAGGTTCTGCCAGCTGCTAAGTATGTCTATGCCAATTATGCTTTCTGGCACTGGGGAAATGACCACAGGATTAGTCCAGGGACCCCCTGGACCCACTGTAAGTTGGACATAAGCTAAAAGTCCTTGAATTACCTAAGTTCCGTAAGCTCCTACTTTAACTGGAGGACCACAGTGACGTTTTGGGTCCCTCAGAATCAACATCAGCTCAGAGCCAGGGTCCAGTAGTCCCTGAAATGTCTGATCATTTCCCTTTCCGCAATGCACAGTTACCCTGGTAAAAGACTGGAGGTCTCCGTGGGGAAGGATGGGATAAAGATTCATTACATAAATTGATGGTAATGTGGTGGGGTCCTTCCTCAAGGGGACCCAGCCTCTTCTTCATTCAAGGGGTTCTGGGTCTTTAAATTGACTCAAGTCTAGAAATTGATTGAGGGGCCACAATTCTCTGATTTTATAATTCAAATTAGTCTTTTGCTCATTTGACCTAGAAGTTCTCTGCTTGTGTAAATTAAGTAGGAATGCAGTAGACTTCTTATCAATTTCACTTCTAGGAACACTATAATTAATTAGCCAGTGCCAGAGCTCTACATGAGTCAAACTATTCTGATTGCCACTTTGCCTCTGCTGTTCATTATGGCAGCTATGCCCATCTTGCCTTTGATTGTTGAATGCCACCGTTTGGCTCCTGCCACCTTGGTATTCAATTATTCCCATTGTATTTAAATTTTGTAGCTGAGTGACTGCAGTTCCCACTGTTAAATCTGATATACAGAGAAGAGCAATTACAGAACTCTTTAAAGATGCAGGTACTGCCTTCACAAATCTATTTTGTAAGGCACTGGTCAAGGGTATATCATCGGGCCCCTCCCAGCTGGGATAAGTAGGTCTAAAGTGACTAACTCACTCTACCATTCAATCTCCCTGAGCCTTTGGATCCCTTCCTCTATATTAAACCAAGGGAGATTAGGCATTTCCAGCTTGCTCACAGTGGGCCATCTTTTAATCTATATTTCAGCTAACCAAGCAAATAAACTATTAGAACCTTTTTTAACTCCCCAAACTGCAACATTAAATGCAGAGTCCCTACTTAGTGGACCCAAATCAATAAATTCAGCCTGATCCAACTCTTTGTTCCTTCCACCATTATCCCACACCATTAGTATCCATCCCATGCCTGTTCTCCAGATTTCTGTTTATATAAATTAGAAAATTCATTATGCATATAAAATTATATATAAATTATATATATAATTATATATAAATTATAATTGTATTTATATAAATTTTTATAAATATTTATATAAATTATATATAAATTATATAAATTAGAAAACTCAAGCATAATGTCAACCTCACCTCTAGGGGTCTGCCAGGACTTTAGTTATATGTCGAGAAGCAAACAGGGGTGTTGGGGTTGCTCCTGAGGAGAATCAACCTTATCTTGCCTGGCAACTGCCTCAGGGGAGACCATCACTGTTGCCTCAGGCAACACAGGGTTTATCTCCTCAGACAAAGATGGAAAGGTGGATGGCAGCGTGGGTCGGGGAGGGGTTGTTGCCACTACTGGGATTGGGGAAACTGTTTCTTCTGGCAAGAAAGGTTCATCAGAGTTTACAAACTCAGTCTCCCCAGCTTCTTCAGGGTCCTCCCACACATCCCCATTCCAAGTTGCTGGGTCCCATTCTCTTCCAATCAATGCCCTCACTTTAACAGTACACACCTGGTGAGACTGTACATACACCTTTCCTTGCAGGTTAGCCACTTGCATGATTAGAGCTTGTGTCTGTTTTTTCATAATTTCATCTCTTTCTGTACAGGAGATAAGACTCTCACTCAGGGCAGTCTTCACAGATTTGGGGATCAGTATCCGCTTCTGAAGCCGGGAGATAGAATCCCTGAGTTCATCATTTTCTTTCATCACTTTGTCCACCGAACTTAGGAGTAACCAACCAGCTTCCTTATCTTCCTTGTTTTTTCACATATGGTCAAAGTTATTATGTATAGAGTCACTAAACTCTTTTGTCTCTCATGAATGATTAATCAGGAGTGGTTAAATGCAGTTATTTTGCATACATCTCTAAACAGTTCATGCCAAGGACTATCAGTGTTCTCCATATTATCAGGAGTAGAGTCCTTAGCATTTCTGGGCCTAATCATATTAAGCAGCCAACTCCAGAAACCCCAAAATCAATGAAAGAAATCCATCCTTAATATTATGTTCCTCCAGAACCACTTCTGGTACCAAAATCTGTATTAGTCAGGGTTCTCTAGAGGGACAGAGCTAATATATTATATGTAACATATTATATATTTATTTATAATATATAAATACATATATTTTATATTTATTTATTATATATATATAATATATATTACAAGATGGAATATGTATGTGTATAATACATATTCCACAATGGAATATATATGTGTAAAATATATATTCCAAGATGGAATATATATGTGTAAAATATATATTCCAAGATGGAATACATATAAAATACATATGTATAATTCCAAAATGGGATATATATATATTCCAGAATGGAATATTTATATTCCAAAAATGGAATTATATATATATACACACACATACATATGTATATATATGCGTGGATATATATATAAAGGGGAGCTTTTTAAGTATTAACTGATATCAACACAAAGTCCCACAATAGGCCACATGCAGGCTTAGGAGCAAGGAGAGCCAGTTCAAGTTCCAAAACTGAAGAACTTGAAGTCCGGTTTTTGAGGGCAGGAAGCATCCAGCATGGGAGAAAGATGTAGCCTGGGAGGTTAGACCAGTCTCTCTTTTCAAAAGCTCCTGCCTGCTTATATTCTAGTCACACTGGCAGCTGATTAGATTGTGCCCACCCAGATGAAGGATGGGTTTGCCTTTCCCAGCCAACTGACTCTAATGTTAATCTCCTTTGGCAACACTCTCATAGACACACCCAGGATTAATACTTTGTATTCTTTTTTTTTTTTTCTAAATCAACAGGTCTTTTATTGCATCATTTAAATATCACAAGTAGGTCTTAGGAGTCATCTGGCATCTTTCTGTAGCTGGATAACTCTTAGATCTTATTCATCAGGCTGCTAAACAGTTCCTTTTTCAGAGACATAGATACCATCCAAAAATTTCCTGATATCTTTGTTTTTAACTGTTGTGGCTTGCTGAATCAAAGCCGCTGAATTTGAAACAAGCTCAATGTCATTTCCTTCAAGGATTAATTCATCTTTCTGGGCTTGAGACACTGAACAAGCAACATCTGGTCTCATCTGAACCCTGCGGATGTATTTTTCACCCAAGAAATTTCAACAAGAGACCCATTCTCCTGGATAATGACGTTGATGGGGAAGTGAGCATATACAGACCTCATCTTGTAACAGAAGTCCAGTGTAACACCTTTGATCATGTTCTGTACATGACTACAAACAGTCCGAACGGTAGTCAGTTCCTTTCTGTTACCCCACCATTTGTCAACTCGAAGCCTCTTTTTTTTCTTTCCAAGAAGACTGAATTCTACATTGATGTGATTGAAGTCCCTCCGCAGGGTTCCTCTGGGGCCCTTCACGATAACCGTGCGTCCCTTCAGAGTAATGTCGACATTTTCTGGAATGTCGACAGTCTGATTGCTGAGAATGGTCTTCATTCTTGCAGTAGACGCAGCAAAGAAAGAATACTTGGTATTCATCAATCTAATCAACTTGACACTCAGTATTAACCGTCACATGCACCCACCTCTTTGCTCATGTTGCTCCTTTTGCTGGAGATTCCTGATGTCCTTTTGAAATTTTCAACCTATTCATCCTTCCTGGCCAAATTCAAGCAACATTCCCTTATTTGTTCTCTAAGACAACACTACTTATCCTTTATTTTATCTTAAAAATGTGCTTATGTTCCTAGAACTTATTTTGTTCTTATATTCTTGCTCCCTGACTTTATGCCTATATTTCCCAATGACAGTAAATTACTCAAGTGCAGGGAATGTTTTTTTCTTTACTTCAATTTCTTATGTAAAGAGTGAAGCTCAGTAGTTGTAAACTTGATTAAAAGACCCTGAAATAGATCCACGAGCACATGGTAGCGTCTATAAACCTCTTGCTTTAGTGATGTTTCAGCTTATGGTGCAACATTTTTGGCTGATATATCAGTGAAGTGGATGATCCTGACAATATTTTTCTGCTCTCATGGTGGACTTCACTGTTATGTTTTGATTATTCTACTCAAGAGGAATTTGAGTATATTCACTATAAGTGGCACAGATACAATAGAAAATTTAAAAACAACATCAATCAACTAACTTGAAAAGTAACCTGAAACAAAAGGCCTGAATAACAAAAAAATGGGTGGGGAAAATTTAACTAGAAAGCTTAGCTTAACTAAGGCAATCTTTTGCACATTTACTATATGAGAACATTGAAAAACTTTGCATACAGCATCCCTGACATAGATAAACTAGAGGTTGCTAAGGCACTAGATGAATTGATTAGCATATTTCATAAGCATTAATAAGATAAGTTGGATTTTTCAAGATCTGTATAGAAAACAAATATTGAGATTTCTGCTAAATATCTGAAACAGAGATATTCTGAGCTGTAGATACAACTTTCCAATCTAGGACCTCTTCTACCTGATTACCTGCTCCAGGGCTGATAGCATCAGATTTGAGTGGAAAGGAGACATTAAACAATAAGTTCATGATCCTTGGGAGCTAAGCAATCCATTGGCAACCACCTCCAGGTGTATAAAAATTTCAGTAATATTTCCATGCAAAGACTGCCACCAGTAACAACCAAGGGTCATTAAGAGATGTAGCTTACAAGCAGCTGACAGATACGCCATCCCCAAACAAAGGTTTCTTCAACTTTATCCTATCCTAAATAGCTTAAGTAAAACCAGGGTGAAAGTAGGGGATGTTTACGAAGAACCAGTGGAGTTCCATTGGACTGAAAGGCAGATGGTGGATCCAGGTGGAAAGGTCAGAGACAGGGGTCCCTCCTCTTCTCTTGGCCTGTCTGCTTCACCTTATAGTTAATTGGCAGACACTTTTCTCTGCTTCTTCGTGCAAGGACTAGCTATGTCACCATGAGGCATGACTCCGCAATCCTCAAATTTAGATGTCCTTAAAAGTTAAGTGTCATTAGGTAAGTGAGTGGAGTCACTGAATCTTAACTGTAACCTCATAGGAGGGAAGATCTGATTAATCCAGCTTAGGTCAGTATCCGCTCTAATTGAACCAAGAGCAGCAAGAGGGATGGGGAGTTTTAGAACTTTACTGCTGAAGAGGGTTTATGGGAAAGGGTAGAACCTGGACAGCCACTCACAAATATCTAATTTAATGAATATAGCAGTGGATCCAAGTCTTTTTGGCGCTAGGGACTGATTTCATGTAAGACAGTTTTTTCATGGATCAGGGCAGGGTGGGTGGGAGGATATGGTTTCAGGATGATTCAAGCCCATTTAATTTGTTGTGTCCTTTAATTCTATTATTTTTCCATTGTAATATATGATGAAATAATTATACAACTCACCCTAATGTAGGATCAGTGGGAATCCTGAGCATGTCTTCCTGCAACTAGACAGTCCCATCTGGGGCTGACAGGACACAGTGACACCCAAAGTGTGTTTCTTATGTCCAGGCTACTCCATAATCTCATTTTGATTGCTGTCACTGCAGAAAGTCCTGCTTCACAAAGATGGGATGTTGGAAATGGAAGCAGGCTTTTCAGTGCTTTTTGGCAATCTCAGGATATTACACCTTGACTTTAATCCAGAATGTATGGAGATTTGAAACTGTCTCAAATACACTTTTAAGGCCACTTTCATTTGTGATCCCAAGCGGTTGATCCTCTTCTAGCACAGATAAAGTCAACTTCTCTGACATATTCATAAATAGGCCAAGGATCCAATCCTTCCTAGTTCGGGAGTCTTTTGTGGTTAGGAAGTAATGCTGAAACTCTTTTGAAAACTGAGATAGGTGATCATGCAGCAACTGGGAGAATGAAAGCCCCAGCTCAGTTTCTTTCTGTATTACTTTCGTGCTGTTTCTCTTTTAAAATTGAATGCTTTTAACAGCACCCAAGTCACCTCTTGTGTCCTTGCTACTTAGAAATTTCTTTTGCCAGATACCCTAAATCATCTCTCTCAAGTTCAAAGTTCCACAAATCTCTAGGGAAGGGACAAAATGTCACCAGTCTTTTGCTAAAATATAACAAGAGTCACCTTTGCTCCAGTTCCCAACAAGTTCCTCGTCTCCAGGCTGAGACCGTCTCAGCTTGACCCTTATTGTTCATATCACTATCAGCAATTTTGTCAAAGTCATTCAGCAAATCTCTAGGAGGTCCCAATCTGTCCCGCATTTTCCTGTCTTCTTCTGAACCCTCCAATCCAAATTGTTCCAACCTCTGCCTGTTACCCAGTACCAAAGTCGCTTCCACATTTTCGTGTATGTTTTCAGCAACGCCCCACTCTACTGATACCAATTTATTGTATTAGTCAGTTTTCACAATGCTGACAAAGACATACCTGAGGCTGGGAAGGAAGAGAGGTTTAATTGAACTTACAGTTACACATGCCCGGGGAGGCCTCAGAATCATGGTGGAAGGTGAAAGGCCTTCTTAAACGGTGGTGGCAAGAGAAAATGAAGAAGTTTCAAAAGCAGAAACCTCTGATAAAACCATCAGATCTCATGAGTCTTATTCACTACCATGAGAACAGTATGGTGGAAACCACTCTCATGATTCAAATTACCTCCCCTTGTGTCCCTCCCACAACACATGGGAATTCTGAGAGTATAATTCAAGATGAGATTTGGGTGGGGACACAGAGCCAAACTATATCACATTCAAAATCTCCGCTAATGTTTGAAACATGTCAAACAATCCCAGTGTTCACTCCTTGACCCCATAATTTCCGTTTGGCTTTGAATGCAGACACTTTATCTGCCAACTTGAACACAGTTGTCCTTCTCCCCTGAAGTGACAAATTGACTTTGTTGAGGAGGCTGAATATGTCACACAAGCAAGTTTTGAGATTCATCTGTGTCACTGAAATGTGCTGCCAGTGGTGAATGTTTTTCTAAAAGAAATACCAGCCCTCACAACTGAAAAACTCTGGCCAGTGATCTATCTTTAGAAAGTTGTCTCACTTCTGTGTATGAGAGAAGACATGTGTGCTGTGTCCGTCTCCTCACAGAGCTACAAGAACAGACACGAGTGAAAGTCATGTACCTTAATGTGGTTGATAATTTTAATCACATTCTGCAAAACATTATTAATTTCACATGACATTTTTGACTAGCCAGCATTTCTTTATGAATGACACAGTGCATAGACTCACAGTGACCTCTTTGACCCAACTAGTCTTTGACCTGGACAGAAAGCTGTCCAGTCATGGCAGCCACTCTGTCCATGCATATACTGACACAAAACAACCAATTCAGTTTTCCTGATATGCAATCATTCAAATACTTGAATAGTTTTGCAGCTGTGGTGTTGGTTGGCAACAAAAGTGCACATTACTGAAAAATATATTGCACAAAAACAGGCATTGTTGCCTTGTTTTCAACATTTTAAATTATGTTTAAAGTACAAATTGCATTCCTGAGTCAGCCTAACCTAATACTCGTCAACCTGGGTTGTGCACCATGGTTATTCATTAATCCTCTCTAACAATTGTGCCTCAATATCCTCTGCTATTTTATCAATTCATCTAGTTATGGTGCTAGCTGAAAGAGAAACGTGTGCCACCTTTTGAACTGCAGACTGAAACGTCTCCTAAAAGTTCACAACAAATGTCCTTAGCAGCAGACGGGATCAACTCTTCATCAATGGTAAAGGGCTTCTTAGCTTTAGCAATGCAGTTAGCCACTAACAATGATACTCTGTGCAGACACATTTAATGAAGTGATCGCCTTCAATAGTTGTGTCTGTTCTTCATGTTCACATTGTTTTCTTTTGAGAAATTCCAAAGGCTTGTCTTATTTTATTTTTTTATTTAGATGGAGTCTTGCCCTGTTGCCTGGCTGGAGTGCAGTGGTGCAATCTCAGCTCACTGCAACCTCCACCTCCTGGCTTCAAGTGATTCTCCTGCCTCAGCCTCCAGAGTAGCTGGGACTACAGGCGCGAGCCACGATGCCGAGCTAATATTTGTATTTTTAGTAGAGATGGGTTTTCACCATGTTGTCCGGGATGGTCTCCATCTCTTGACCTCGTGATCCGCCCACTTCAGCCTCCCAAAGTGCTGGGATTACAGGTGTGAGCTGCTGCACCTGGCCAAAGCTTGTCTTTTAATGCAGGGTGCTTGGTCTCTTTGTGAAGCAGTTTTGAAGGTTTCATGGCTTTGTTGGATAACGGGTTGCCACATATTATACAAAATGGGATTGAAGAATGTGAATCAACTGTTGCAATGAAACTGTAATTTAAGTGGAATTTTTGGCATTTTCTTTTAAATGCAATTTTCTTTTTATTGGCAGTCTTAGAGTCTTCTACTGTCTCATCATTGGGTCTTTCCCTCTTTTCAAAGAAGCTCTCCAGTGATGTTTGTTTTTAACTCGTTTTGGCTAGGGTTAGCCTGTGGGCTTACCAAAACCATGACTGAGACAAGCATGCAGTATGGAAATGAGGCGCGGATGGAAGTAGTAAATAAAATAATGAGTGGGCCATGTGTGGACTAAAATATGTCAGATTCTGATTTAAAGCCTGCCACTGGAGGCAGCTGTACAATTGAAGTATATCAACTGATTTGCAATATAAAGCCTGCCACGAGATGCAGCTTAATTGTCACTTGCCACTCACTGATAGGATTTTTATATGAGTCTGCAAGCAATTTATTTATTATGGTCTCTGTGCAGTCAGACCTGTCTGCTAACGTTAATCTGTATTTTCAGCCACTCCACAGGGCTAGCAACACCCTCTCAGCTCCACCTCAGATCATCAGGCATTAGATTCTCATAAAGGGCATGCAACCTAGATCCCCTGCATGTGCAGTTTACAACAGGGTTCACATCCCTCTGAGAATCCAGTCCTGCGACTAATCTGATGGGAGGAGGAGCTCTGGCAGTAATGCAAGCAATGGGGAGCAGCTATAGATACAGATGAACCTTCGCTTTTTCACCTGCTGCTCACCTCCTGCTGTGTGACCTGGTTCCTAACAGGCCAGGGACTGGTACCAGTCTGTGGCCCAAGGGTTGGGGGCCCCTGGAATATAAGACCACATTCGCAGTGTAGAGAACAACCAGGACATTCAGTAATTAGCTTTTATTTCTTAGGCTGTAGAAGGAAATATTTTGTACATTAATAAAGGCTGTGCCTTAATCATAAATGACATTACATAGAACTACTGAGCCTCAGTCACTCTTGCAGAAGGCAAAAGAATGAAGTTCAAACACACTTGTTGAACCAAAGGAATGAATAATTGCTTCCATCACCATTTCTGCCCTTCTATCTTTACAAAAGAAGTATCTGAAAACAGCAATCACTGATTTTAACAATAGTTGACATTTCTTGCTGTGCACATTAGTCAGTATTTATCCTTCAGGTATGACATTAATACTAACCCACGCCTAACACTTTTTTAGATACAAATGATTATTGGTTCCCTTTGAGCTATCAAGAATGATGACAGTTGTGGAGACAGTAGCAACTGGCAGCAACTACTTCCTTTTTTCACCACTCCTATAGGGCTTCTCAACAGGACTGTTGTCTTCTTGGGTTACCATTGGCTCCTGGCCTTTTCTTCTCCCCATGGGTGCTTGTTCTGGTTTTTAATACTCCTATAGAGTCCTGCATGGCTTACAGTCATAATATCCACACTCTGATTCAGAACATGAAGGCATGCTTTATGCTTTACACATTTAAAGTGAAATGTAGACCTTTATGAAAATAATGTTTAAAATATAAATTGCATTCCTGAGTCAGACTAACCTATGGCAAACTCTTTTTAAGTTTTACTCTGCAATACATTTCTTTCTTCTTTTATTTTTTTAACTAATGATTTTTTTTTTTTTAACATTACGCTGTGAGGCTCCTATGTGTTAACCCTGATGACGGTGATACCAAAATTATGATAGTGTATGCTGCAGTAACTTAACAGAGTGAAACTTAGCATCATCCATTCTGAATCATTAATAGAAAGCTTGATGCTGGGTGAGCTTCAATGAAGTAGGAAGGAAAGGCATAGACATCATGTGTAGAAAGGTTGTGTCAAAGCAAACGATTATGACCATTTGAGACTATAATACTTACGTATCTTTCAATTTATGTTTCTATTGTTATAGAAAATATAGTGAACTTTTACTATTCTACTTTTTCTTCA